ACCGCAGACAACTTTCCGCTAGATTGATCTATATCATCTTGGCAGCACGAATAGCAGACGACTTTTGTGGTTGTATCATAGCGATCTTCATCTGTCTCCGCAGCAATTGCAAGCTTGGAAATCTTCTGGGGTGGCTCATTGCGCTACGGCCATTGTTCAATCAGTCCCGGGAACTACACGTTGGAGTATACGCCCCGGACGTACCTGGACCTTCTTTCTCGTTCGCTTTATGTTGAGTGCTAGAGGGTGATCAAATCGGTTGTGATGGAGGCGGGCGTGATTTCTATCGCCTGTACAGCCACCGTTGAAACAGTGGAGACAAACATTCAACCCCAACTCGTCATCCTAGCAAGAATGTTAGACATGCAAATGAAAAGCCGGGAAGAGTAAATCATTGTACAATTGAGTCAAAACATTGCGTGCAATCTTCCCGATATACGGCCTGTGATGCAGAAGGTGGTTTGAGGTCTGCGGAATACATTAGCCTGTGCTCATTTGCAATAATACTAGGTAGTTCAAATTGGACCTTCTGAGTGGATGTGTATACATAAGTCCATGTCGAAGATTCCAATGGCAGTAAATAGAACTATGTGAAAACAACTACCACACACTCAGCAGTAGAGGAAATCGTGAAGGAAGCTTGAGTGGGTTGGATGATGGATGGTTGTTGGGAAAGACAATAATAGAAACTACGTACTGTAGTACAAGTACATACTCACAGTAAAGAGGGGCTGTTACGACAAGAATTCATCACGAGGTATTATTCTACACACCGCCTACGTTATCTCGTTTGATATATTTCTCGTTCGTGATGATCCATACCATCTACGCCCGTGCAACGTACTAATCCACAAAGAGCTAATAATTCCGAGTGCTCTTTACATATTAAGTAATCACTTAACGCGTCGCGTAATTAGTTATTACTTACACATGTACGCGTCTGAAACCCTTCAAGATAACATCCATGGACTTAAATTTCAAGGAGAACTCAGCCTATTGACCTTGCTGGACATCAAACATAATTAATCAACCCTTCTTGGAGTTCTTGCCTTTTTTTTCTTTTCTCTCCCTTTTCTTTTCTTTACGCTTTGCAGCATCTGGGCAACTACACTGTACCAACGTTGTCATGGCCTCAGAAGCAGCATCTCATATTTCTGCTGGGGCTTTGAGGTATTTATACCCATCCTTAGTTTATATTCAAGATATGAGATGCTAATTTGCAATCTTTGATTTCTAGTGCCATATTTGATGACACAAAACCCCAGCCCCGCGAACCTATTGTTCAATGTGTGCAAATTAAGCCTCTGCCACCCCAACAAAACCAGCAAGAGCGCTATAGGGCTGTGTTCAGCGACATTTCCAACTATGTGCAAACAATGCTTGCTACTCGTGAGTTGGAAAGAGATCTATCAATGTTAAAATGTTGAAACACCTACCAACAAGGCCAACCCGAGTTCATAGAAAACAATCATCTGGTTACCAACGGTTTACTCCGAAAAGGATGCTTCGTTCGCTTGAAATCTTTTCAAGCGAACTTGGTCAAGGGAAAAAAGTTTGTGACTCGATTCTGCCGTGAAATGCAAAGCTGACCACCACAGGATCCTCATAATCCTGGACCTTGAAGTTCTGCAAGAGCTCGGTGAATTTGAAAAAATCGGAGAGCCAAAAGCCTTGGAAAATAGGACCGAGGAGGATGAGAAAGCCCAACCGACCACTATCTCTGGAAATGGTTTCTATGGCTCCAAGTTACAAGGACAGCAGATGCAAGCGCATGACCGAACACCGTCAACGCGACCCATTGCACCTGCATCATCCCATGCTACCATATACCCGATTGAAGCTATATCCCCGTACAATCATAAGTGGACAATCAAAGCGCGCTGCACAAGCAAGTCGAATATAAAGACCTGGCATAACCGGAATGGAGAAGGCAAGCTGTTCAGTGTTAATTTGCTTGATGACAGTGGTGAAATCCGCGCAACTGGATTCAATCAGCAATGTGAGATGCTGTATGATGTTTTCCAAGAGGGAAATGTCTACTACATTTCTAGTCCTTGCCGTGTGCAAATTGCCAAAAAACAATTCACCAACCTGAACAATGATTATGAACTCACATTTGAAAAAGATACGATCGTCGAAAAGGTTAGTAATATGCTCAATTTTTATTCTTAGAAGAATATTCTGTCTGACTTTCTCGTTCAGGCTGAGGACCAGAGCGATGTGCCCCAAATTCGATTCAATTTTACAGCCATAGGCGAACTCCAGTCCGTCGAAAAAGATACCACCATTGACGTTATAGGCGTGCTTAAAGATGTTGGAGATGCGTCTCAGATCGTATCTAAAACCACAAGCAAGCCGTATGACAAGCGTGAATTGACTTTGGTCGACACCACTGGATTCTCTGTGCGCTTGACTGTCTGGGGCTCTACAGCAACGGGTTTCAATGTGATACCTGAATCAGTGGTTGCATTCAAAGGTGTAAAGGTATCTGACTTCGGCGGTCGAAGCCTGAGCTTGTTGAGTTCTGGCACCATGACCGTTGACCCTGACATTTCTGAAGCGCATAAACTAAAGGGCTGGTACGATGCGCAAGGCAGAGATGAAGCGTTTGTCTCGCATGCATCTATGTCCAGTGCGACAACTTCAACAAAACCAGATCGATTCAAGACGATTGCCCAAGTTCGTGAGGAGCAATTGGGAATGTCGGAGAATCCCGATTATTTCTCCTTGAAAGCAACCATCATCTATATCAAGAAGGAAAACGTTTCCTACCCTGCTTGCCTCTCAGAGAGATGCAATAAAAAGGTGACAGAACTTGATCCTGGTCAGTGGCGGTGTGAGCATTGTGACAAGACTCACCCACGCCCTGAGTATCGCTATATCATGCTTATTAGCGTCAGCGACCATACTGGCCAACTCTATCTAAGCTGCTTCGATGATGTTGGCAAAGCAATAATGGGGACTTCTGCGGACAATTTGATGGAAATTCGACAGAATGACGACAAGGCGGACGGTGACTTATTCCAGGATGCTAATTGCCGAACTTGGAACTTCAGGTGTCGCGCCAAAATAGATCATTTTGGCGATCAACAACGGTAAGCCCTAGTCCTTGCAGCAAGGAAATACGGACATGCACTAATATCGATTTTCTGTTGAAGTGTTCGTTATCAGGTCTCTTCGGCCCAGCCCATCAATTATTCTGATGAGGCTTCACGCCTCGCAGGATTGATTGACTCATATGGGCTCGATTGATCCTTGTTATGAATAGAGTACCCCTGGGTAGTAGAGAGTAACCTGGCAATGAAAATACTGCATACCCATTCATCCCAAAAGAAAGGAAAGAAAAGAACAGGAAAGAAAAGGCAGACGAATGATAAATTATTATATGGGATTAGAGCACGGTACTTACTCTATAGACCTCTTACTATCATGTACTCTGTACGGAGTCTATGTAGACAACGACCCGAAAGGCGTAGTATGTGGGTAACCCCCAACATTATCACTATTGGTGGAATTAAATTCGGGTGGGCCTTCCTCTCTTTTACTTTAATTTTTCCTTTTCCTTTTCTAATTTTTTTTTTTTTTTTTTCCGCCTTCACCTTTCTGATTCTTTTTGTTCTTCCCCCTCTCTCTTGTATACGACAATGGCGAAACGAGACAAAAGTGACGAATGCGATTTCGAGCATCGACCAAAAAAGAAGTCGAAGACAAAGAAACATGCAAAAGACTCGAAATTGGCTGACAACGATATCAACACCAATGCAGAGCTAGATGCTCCCTACGTACAGTCTTCGGAGCTTGATGAAGTCCCTCAACTTGAAATAGATCAGTTTACGGCGGAGCACTCCATTAAAATAGCTGATACTTCGTCTGAGAATGCCGCAGTGCTTCGCCCGATCATATCGTTTACTCATTTACCTCAATGCGACAGCAAACTATACGAACTATTGAGCTCTTTCAAATCACCGACGCCTGTACAGTCGGCGACCTGGCCGCTGCTTTTTGCAGGCCGTGATACAATTGGTATTGCTGAAACTGGGAGTGGTAAAACACTTGCTTTTGGTTTGCCATGCCTTAGAAAAATGTTGGAGTCCAAAAAAAGGAAATGGAAGTCTGCCCGCCCTTCAGCAGTGATCGTTTCTCCCACAAGAGAGCTTGCAATGCAAATATATGATCAGCTCTCAAAGTTTGCCAATCCTGTAAGCATTGGCTTGGCATGTATATTTGGAGGCGTGAGAAAAGAGGAACAGCGTGAAGTCTTGAAAACTGCTGCCATCGTTGTTGCGACACCGGGAAGATTGAAAGATCTTCAGAATGACGGATCCGTCGACTTGGGGAAGGTCGAGTATCTTGTACTCGATGAGGCAGATCGTATGTTGGACAAGGGATTCGAGCAAGACATAAAAGATATCATTGGCTCCATGCAAGAAACTAGTCGGCAGACTGTAATGTTCACTGCAACATGGCCCCCTTCTGTTAGGAACCTTGCAGCAACCTTCATGACCTCACCTGTGACTGTCACAATTGGCGGGGATCCTTCTGCTGATCCTCGTGCCAACTCAAGGATCAAACAGGTTGTTGAAGTGGTTAACCCACATGACAAAGAATACAGGCTTGTTGAGTTGCTGAACCGTTCGCAAAGAGGTGTTACTTCCCCAGAGAAGGTTTTAGCTTTCTGTCTATACAAAAAGGAAGCAATGCGCATCGAGAGGCTTCTTCGGACTAAGGGGTTCAAAGTAGCCGGGATACACGGGGACATGAGTCAACAGGAAAGGTTCAGGAGCTTGGAAGCCTTCAAGTCAGGGTCTGCTACGGTTCTTGTTGCTACTGATGTTGCAGCTCGAGGTCTTGATATCCCTTCCGTCAAGTTGGTTCTCAATGTTACATTCCCTCTGACGGTCGAAGATTATGTACATCGGATAGGACGGTAAGCCAACCATGCTTATCTTTTTTGACCCGCTTTCTCCTTTATGATTGTACTAACTTCATTAAAACTTGAAGGACGGGACGAGCTGGAGCCGAGGGTCACGCAATAACATTGTTCACCGAAACTGACAAAGCACAATCTGGCGGGTAAGTGAAAATGATATCCATTTCAGCCCTATGGCTTTATCTGATGAATTGGATATATTTTACTGACGTATGTAGGTTAATTAATGTCCTACGGGCTGCGAAGCAGGATGTTCCAGAAGACCTTCTTAAGTTCGGGACAACCGTCAAGAAGAAGCAGCATGGCGCATATGGTGCCTTTTTCAAAGACGTTGATAATAACAAATCAGCGACCAAAATTGTGTTTGATGATTAATTCTTCATTATGTTTTTATTGTTGTTTCTTGTTGGAAACTTTGATTTTGCCATGTGGCAAGCTTTTGTACATAGTTGCAAAAAGTATGCTCTCTCCAGATACAACCTAGCCCAAAAGATTAGTACCTGTCGCCTTAAAACTGCATTTATCGTACTCACACAAGAATGACATAGGTGGCATTTAATGCAATTGCCCTGATAATATCGTGGAAATTGTCGTTAGGGCTTCCTGGGTTAGAGACCATAATAGATGTCGCTAGAATTCCAGCAACTTGGGTGCAAAGGCGCGGGCTAAATTCGGCCAAGGCAAGCCCATTCTGGTGCCGACGCAAGTATGAATCTATGAAAACATAGCTCCATACCGTGCGGACTGCCATGTTCACGATGTTAGCCCACACCAATCCTTGAGCTCCCATATTGCAGATTTTTAGGAAAATGTAAGCTGCCAATATGAACGATGCTGAGAATGCCCCCATCCAACCTGTTTGCTTCCGCAACTCCAAAGGACTAGCTGTAGATGACACAAATGCTTCTGTGATACCATTAAATGCTAAAAATGGTATATAGTAGCAATACATCATAAGCAAACGATCAACTTGTTTCGAGGTCCATCGGTGCCCACCCAACAGGTGGAGAACACGAGGCACCAAAGACGGGGTCAATGGGAAAACAATGACCGATAGAAGCCCGTATGCGCGCAATATGCCTACCAAATGGTTCTTCGCGACATTAAGACCGCTAGGATCAGGTGCACTAACTTCCCCAGGATTGAGAAGCGATGCAAAGAGTGTTCGACTGCTCTCTTCGATTGGTTGGAAGATTATGCGAGCAACAAGACCGCCGTAGTTCGAGGCAAGAGAATATATTCCCTGGTCCTCTAAGCTCGACATGGCTGCAAGTATCATCGAATCACCCTGAGTAAGAATATGCTTGACTGCTGATTGCACAAAGACGTTTGCAGACAGTGAGATCAACTGATATGAGAATCTGCCAGCCAGATACCTAGACCGCTTACTGGGGATTCGTTAAGGCAGCTCACCAAACATCTATCTTGATAGTTGTCACTACATACCTGGATTTTATACGCATGGGAAGGAACGAGAATCCCCCTTTCCTCGCTGTGCTAGGCATGGTGGCAGCGTAGCCACCAATGAGAACGAGAGAATGGCATAGATGCCCTAATGCAAATGGAAAGATACCAACATTGAAGCTGGTTTTGGATGCCCATATAAAGGTGCTGCAAACAACCACACTTTTCACAAATGCTGCGGGCATTTCAACAAGAGCACGCTTTTCGTATAACATGTGTTGTTGCACCACAGCAAAGAAAGGTTCAACCCCAAGTTCTAGGAGTGATGCGACACCAGTAATTACCACGCTGGTGTGATAGTATGGCGTTTCAGAAACCTTTTCTGAGGCAAAATGCACATAGAACATAGCGAGCGCCATTGTCATGGGAAGTCCCATGGCGAAGCTCAAGTAAGAAATGTTCACCACCGACTGGGATGCTGTAGAATTCCCAGTCCCTACTTCACGGTTGCCAGAATGTTCCGCTTTGTCGACCACGGCCCTTGAAGGTTGTCTTTGGATTGCTACCCGGATGCTCTCCCTTGAGAAATACAGTATCGTGGTCAGATAAAGCTCCAGTTGAGCCGCAATTCCAACAATTGCTGGAGACAACTTGCGCAAAATTAGTTGGTTCGCAATGAAGGTAATAATCCTCGAGGTTAACTGGATCATGATTAGGAACGCCGTGCCAGATGCGGACGATCTCAGCATCTTGCCAAATCGATTCTTGTCTGGTTGTGCCATGATCACCAATTCAGCATGAATATCAATCAATGATAGTGAAAAAGCAGGCCAATGACAGCTGAGAAGCGAAGAGATGAACTGGTCAAAAGCAGGACGGCGAAATAAGCGAGGAAGGGAGGGTATGGTAATATTTAATTGGGATGACTTCTGTAGAATACTCCGTGCTGAGCTAAATATACGTGACAAGTGGTGGTGCCGAGTTTTTATCGATGGAGAAAAAAAAAAAAAAAAAAAAAAGGAAAAAGGCAATTTGCTGCATTAGAGTATGTACACATATATTCCTATTGTAATGTCATATGGTTACCATGTGGATTGTTTCAACTCGATCTTACAAAGCCAATATGGGATACAGAGTACATTCAAGTGCTTTAGGTGATTGACCTGTATATTTTGATTTCCTTCACAGAAGCCGATACTACAGAGTGCTACATACTCTGCTTAATGATAAACAATGATATGCATCACTGCTAAGAGATCCAAGGTAAGCCCCGTTGCTCCTTTGACCAACAAAGATAACGGAGAGGCTTCAATTGGTAAGGCGAAATCGACTAGAATGGGGGCAGGAAGAAAGGGTAGCCGGCATTCTTTGCCTTGAAAACACTGAGGAGGAAACTATACACCCCAAACAAGACAGCCCCCCAGATTACTACAGCCACTTGTTGCGCTTTTGCGTCGGCCATACGGGGTACTTTCATGGCAAGTGCAATTGTGGCAAAAGAAAGCGTGGCATCTTGATGGATGGGGTTAGCGCCGCCAAACGATAAAGGGTCACCAGGACTCACATATAGCTGCAACAATTTGTGTCTCCATTCCAAATTGGGTCTGGAACCCACCGGCAAAGTAGCTGATGCCCCCTTTGCCATCTCCGACGACATATGGCACTCTCCGGATGTGATTGAACATGTGTCCACTTGTAAAGAGAAGAATAGCAATAAGGCTGATCGCGGCCCAGATGTTTCGATTCCGAACAATTGGCAGAACATAGGGTGATAAGACCGTAAAAAGGGTCACCGCACCCATAGACAGTGTGATTGCAGAGACAAGTCGCACGTAATTGACAGGACGTACAAGAGGCGGTTTCGGTCCCTCGGGCAGGTGACGATTAATCCATGTGTACAGTTGGTCTGCGGACATGAGACTTTATGTCAAGGAACAAGTTAACACAAATCCAGCAATAGAGACATCAAAAATCATCTTACCCTGTAAAGTCAAATCTGAAGGGCGTATCGTCAACCCTGGCAAATGGGCCAACAGTCGGAGGGAACACCAGTAGAACAGGTGCGGTTTGAAGCATCAGCTTCCCCAGGAATGTTAGTTATTTTACGCCGGCTCGATAGAAATCGGTTCTACACGTACCTTTTGAAACGTAGCCTTGCCATGGACAAAATCAAGGGTACCAAAAAGCAACTTCAACTCATCAGGCTTCGAGCCCTTGTTCCAACTCTGTGCAATAAGCTCCCATTCTGGCTGAAGTTCCCGGCACAGAATACACCCAAAGCGAGCCTCCGTCGCTGTCAGGACGATGGCAGCATAGTAATCGCGCGGCTTCGAAGTCAGATCACCATATGACGAGTCGTCCAGATCAATGGGCGCGAGACGCGAAAGGGCTTGGAATTGTTCGAATTTATCTGTTGATGGACTCGCGAGTGCACTGGACACTATACAGAGAATGGAGAGAAGTAAAAAAGAGAGAGGTTTCATTTTGTCATGACAATAGTAGTAACAGTTTTTAGGAGACGTTGAATGTGCTCTGTTGATTGTTGCACTTAACTATCGCCATGTGTCCACTACAGGGCAGGATGTCATAGTACAGTCCGTGACGGTAAATTACTAAATTAGGTATGGTGCTATCCACCCCTGCTGTACTCCGTACTCGATTTCCGATAAGCAATAAAGCTGCCCAGGAGCCACGCCAATCTTTGTCGTCTCCTTCTTCTCTTCCGCTGCAGCTTATCATCGCTTATCGCTGCTTACCGTTTAATTATCTCTATTGATTTCTCCACAGCTTATTCCTGGTTGTCATATTCGCAAGGCCAACTTCTTAAAATACCATGGCGCTTGTCGGCCCGGAGGTCGTAGAGGACGTATGCTCTTCACTCTGGTTTTAAGAATTTCGCATGAGCTAACATCACCCAAGTGCCAGCTGGCTATTAGAACGGCGCAATTTGAAAGTGAATATGCCAAAATCAGTGGACGCACGGCACAGCTGCTGGATGCCGAGAGAACTCGTGTCAAACGCATGGAGCAATTACTGCTCCAGTTCGAAAATGATACTTTACGCTCAGAATTGGAACAAGTCAATGGACAACTAGCCGCAGCTATGCAGGCTGAGTCTGATAACCGCCTTCAGCTTCATGAGGCTTGGAAAGAAGTTGATCGCTTGTGGAGTGTCATAAAAGCTTCATCTCATGAGATCGAAGGCCTTCATGTAGGTGGTGCATGACGAATAAACCCATGATATTGATGCTGTTCTAAACTATCCGACAGGAGAAACTTTCTTCTTTAAGCGGCACCACCTCTGAATCCAGAGACTTGCTCGCAGAGAAGATTCGGCTTTCAAAAGATCTATCGAAATTACAATCAGAATTTGAACGACTAAAATCACAAAATACATCTTCACAGGATCTTCTCGCAGAAAAAAAAGATCTGGAGCGACAATTAAGCATGTTGGAGGTACAAATGGAGGATGACAAACGTACACACGAGCGTAGCCAAGCTCGAGATAGGCAACAAAAGCAGGAAATCGCAAACCTTACGTCACAGCTGGAAAATGCCCGTAAGGAACTGGCAGAGGGTCGGCAGGAGCATGATTCTCAAAGACAGAGTCTGGGGTGGACGACACAGCAGAATGCATATGAAAGCAAGATTGAGAATTTGACCAGGAAGCTAAAATCTACAAACGCTCAACTCGAAGAAGCCCAGAAGCCTCAAAAAAACCGCCAGGCCAATGTTAAAACAGACGATATAAGTCAAGCTAGCCATCGAGGCCGTGCTATTCCTCCTCAGCGACCGATGACACAATTTAACCCAGATATTACTATCGCAACCCCAGGGGCCATCCAGAAGCATGAAAAAGCCAGACAGCCATCAGCATTACCTGGCGAAAAATCAGCTTTTTCGATAACTCCCTATCTGAGTCGTACAAACGCCCCACTAGACACTCCTGTGAGTTCGGAGGATGATATGGATGAGCTTGGCGCCGTTAGTTTGAAGGAAACGATTAAGTCTCCATCAAATGAGGCTGGATCTGGTGGCAGCAAAGACGTTGAGATTTGGCCTGAAGGTCAGCCAATTCCTGGCAAAGGCCTATCTCGCAAGACGACAAAGCAAAAACCAACTAAGCTACAAGCAAAAGAAACCTCGGCTAAAGGGCCAGGCCGCAACGACAGTGACGACCAACTCGAGGATTTGAGTGGTTTGCACGCTCAAAAAGGTACCGGTCACGGGCCGGCTAAACCAAAAAAGCGAAAGCTTGGTGGTCAACGCGATAGAAACTTGTTTGATGAGGAGGAAGACGAGCTTCACGAATACCGAAAACCGGGACGCAAGCTTGCCCTCGGTGCAGGTCGAAATCCAGCCCTAGGTGGTTTTCAACCTGCCGGCGGTCTACAAGCATTTTCACCGTTAAAACGCGACAGGAAAAGGCATTAGATTCAAGAGGTGCGGCACACCACAAGCTGTAGAGAGCTTCAAATTTAGTGTCAATGCAACAAGTCTCATAATACCTGATCTACTGTATTGAGGGCGCCCTGTCCAAAAAAAAAAAAAAAAAAAAAAA